GTTTAGACCTAAGAGAAGGAGCCTTCCTATATGTGAATTTCGGTGTTGGAGGTAATAATTTTGAAAGAACAGGATCTGTCATTAAAATCGGCCAATGTCGCTTAAATACTTTTTCTATTTGTTTATAATTACTGGTAAAATCCAAAATAATTGCCATATAATCCTCCCTAAAATTATATGGCAATTATTTTGGATTTTACCAGTAATTATAAACAAATAGAAAAAGTATTTAAGCGACATTGGCCGATTTTAATGACAGATCCTGTTCTTTCAAAATTATTACCTCCAACACCGAAATTCACATATAGGAAGGCTCCTTCTCTTAGGTCTAAACTAGTCCGTAACGTACTAGACCCCCCCACTAAGAGTCTTAAAGTTACGTTTCTTGATCATAAAGGGTTTTTCCCGTGTAAATCTTGTTATGCTTGTAAGGCCACTAGGGGTCTTAATCGTAGATTGAGTTCATTCACAGCTACCAGCAATGGAAGGGCTTTTCAGATCGAAGACTTTATATTTGTAATACAGAGGGGGTTGTGTACGTTCTCTTCAATGCGGTTGTGGCCTGCAATATGTAGGACGGACAAAAAGGCCCCTGTGGGTTCGGCTGAGAGAACATGTTCAAAATATAAAAAAAGGGTTTTCCAAAACATAGTCTATCTAATCACTTCCGGCTTTGCCATAATCAAGATCCCTCTAGTCTTAGATTCTGGGGAGTTGCAAAATTCAAAAAACATTGGAGAGGGACCCATAAAGTGAGGTCTTTGAGTCAGGTAGAATCTAGATATATTGTCTTGATGGATACGTTTGCCCTATGGGACTTAACATTGAGTTCGATTTGAATTGCTTTATCAGTGATCGTTAATTTACTTTTTTATGCTGGTTTATGTCTGTTATTATGTATTAGGAGTGAGAGTCCATGCATGATCACAGGGGAGTTATATATGTTATATATACTTTTTTATTTTTGTTTTTATTTTTATTATTTTTTATTTCTATTTTTTGTATTCACCTCCTTTAAGGTGTTTTTAGTAAATATATTTTTCTATGTATTTTATTAGTTTTTTTTATACATATATAATTTTTATATATATATATTTCTATATACATTGTTTAATTGTGTAGTGTATTTTGGCATGTCATGTATTGATGGACATGCGCTCAGAAATCTTATTTTTACCCTTTTTAATAAAGTATGTGGTTTCCACATCTGGTTTTATGTCTGTCCCCAGTATTAACATACCTTACAGAGTAATTGGCTTTTTTCCCAAATTATCATATCGTTTGGTCCTATTGTGAATATTAGACGCAATGGGAAAGCGTCTGTGTACATTGGACTACAGTAATATGGCCGCGATGGAATGCCCCCTGTCTTTGATTGGTGCGGTCCTCGGTCTTTATAAGGAAGTACTGTCGGCCAATCACGCTGTCCTGACGAAGTCACGAGTTACGTGACGCAACGCGTCGAGTTAATAGCGTGTGTTTGGTGACGTATTTCCGGCGTGCGCCATTTTGGAACACCTTCTGATCATGCTGTACACCCAATCCATGGGGAAAGTAAACTGCCGTTATGTAAGTGTATTTTTTTTCCTGTTTTTCTTGGCTTACTGTGTTGTCTGGCCATTAAAATCAGTAATACATATGAGGATTGTGTTTTCTCCTCATTTATGAGCATAGAGCTTTCTGAATTGAGGAGGGCATAGCTTATGTCCGCTCAGATTATTCAACCATGATTCCGCCCATGCCATTTCTCTTTGAGGAGCTACTGGTTGGAGGGACCACAGGTGATCTGCAATATGCTTTGTGGCCTGTGGGGTCATAGAGTGGAGGTGAGAGGCCATTGCAGCCAGATGCCTTGGATCATTTTGGAGTGTGCTGTGACTCACCTGCACGTTTTAAAGATTATGGACACTGTATTTTGCACTAAGCAGAAATCTACCTGTTAATCTTTCCCATATCCCCCAAGTGGATTTGGGTTATTTGCTATCATATTTAGTTTGAATTGTTAGCGCTGCTTCATTTTTACATGCCCCCTTCATGCTTTTTCCCATTGCTGGGCCAATTAGGATATCAGGGACATTCATTGTGTGTGGAGAAAGTGTTTTTATACAGAAGGGAGGGGGGACATATGATTTAAAAATAATCCTGGAATTCCGCTTTAAAAGAATGTTTTTTAAAAAAAAAGGTAATCTTCGTCCATCTGCAAGCTCAAGTGATAGAGAAGGAAGTCTCAAAAGGTGCGTTTTAGAGTCTTTCCTTAGGGCACATCGAGTAGTTTTGTTACAGAGAGATACTGTGGATAGCTTACTTTAATAAAAAAATTAACCTGTAAAAGATCAACAATGGTTAAAAAACTCCTGCAGCTGATGCTACTAACTAAAGTGTAATATCAGCCCTCCAAAAATGATACCTTCCATCATTACCAGCTGCTATATCTCTACTACTACTGTCCCCATCTGCAGTGCTGCTACTATTTGCAGCTCATATAGCTTCTCTGCCCTATTCTAGTGCTCTGGCACTGTAAAAGTGCCACATGTAATTTTTTTGCAGCTGGGCCTCATCTGCAAAATTCCCAATGCTTGCTGAGCAATAAACCATGCTCATTGTCTCATAGTTTGTAGCCTGTTTCATTGCTCTAGCCATTTAAAATTATTTGTAGCTGTTGTCCTACTGATATACTCTACTTTACGCCAAGGTTTGTTTCATAATAAAAACTGCCTTATCTATCCCTCTTACATTACAGCCTAATCAATCTGCTTGCATACTCTGCAACAAATACACAATATTTATGGCTACTGCCTCTGAAATACTACACTGCAGTTTTTATTTCATGATAAAAACTGTCCCATTGCTACCTTCTTACATTACGCTCTAAACAAGTCGCTAACATTGTGTAGTAACTGTACAATATTTGTGCTATTGTCTCTAACTCTAAAAAAAATACATTCTAATTTTTATCTGATAAAAACTGTCTCATCGTTATCTCTTAGATTGCTTCCTAATTTACCTGCTTACATTTTCTTCGGAGCAACAATATTTATGGTTATTCTGATTGATTTACTATCAGCAAGTAGGCTGTCCACTTTGCAAAGTTGTAATTTGAAAGAGAATTGTGGCAAAGTTTCACTTTGCAAAGAATACAAAATCATGCTCAAAGAAAATGTAAAAAAAAAAAAAAAAACAGAATTTTTGCTTGCTGTCCTACAATTTTTATTTCAGAATAAAAACTGCCTCTTCTCTGAAATGTGGGCTTGTGGTTTTGAAGTGTTTTGTGCACTCTGTTTTGAAGTTTATTAAACTTTTAAGACATCATAATGTAGAGCTTTGAAAAAAAAAACCCCACAAACTATACTGTTAAACTGTTTGCCCCTGGTCAGTTGGCATTTAATTGAGATCTTTAGCCTTATATTTTTATGAGTACACTTTCCTATAGCTTTTATATCTGTTGTGGCTGCTACTTCTACCAAATAACGCAGCCAATTACTATCTTTAGAAGCTTTTATAATAAATCAGTTTGTGTTTCTGCTGCAAGGACAGTGTGCACTTAAGCTACCTTTTATTGAATTACTCCCATTCAATGAACCCCCTCGTCATGTGTAAACTCTTGGGTGCTGACAGGAGCAATTGAGGGGCAGTAAAAACACAAGGTCTTATACTGCTGTATCCTCACAGCCTCCAAAATCTTGTAGTACAGGCATTCCAACCTGTGCTACTTGTCTCTATTAAGTTTCAGCCTAACCTTACAATTTAGGCTGAATTCACACAGATGGTTTTGCCCATGTGAATAGTATCTCAGTGTTTTTGAGAGACAGGGAGGTATATGTGCACTGCCCCACTGCCATTAGTGCCAAAATATATTACAGGCGTAAATACATGGTGGCTAGATACTATAATAAATGGCATTCTGGGCATATATCTCTGAACTCATAGGGCCTGAAATCCAAGTACTACTTGGTACAGCACCCAGCCACTGCATATATGACTGTTTCATATAATTTGACAGGCTGCTGGCAGCAGGGTTGGATGCTGTACGTGTGCCTTCTCGTAGTAAAACACCTGCCTGTACTCTTTTTCTCTACTACATTTCAGCCAATTACTAATTAAAAATGCCCTGCTGTTAATTTGTATCAGCTGCAGTCTTTTAATTTTTAAACCAACCATATATGGATTAAAATGTATCTGGTTTAGTAGATATCAGTCAAAGTTTAATTCATGTATGGGCAGATGTCCAGAGTGTCCAGAGGTCGGTTTTACTGATCAACTTCTCCCATATGGAAGAAAAAAATATATTTGAAATATATTTGAAAAATATTCTTCCCAAATATATTAACATATATTTGAAATGCTACAATTTTGGCCATATTCAATGTATTTTAAAATATATTTAATTATAAATATATATATATATATATATATATATATATATATGCTGTATGTTGAAATGCATTTATATTACAAAATATATGAAAAATATTTTTAAAAATACATTTCAAATATACTGTATGTCTTTAAAAATACAAATCTACATTTTTGGAATGCATTTACAAATATATGTAAAAATATACCGTATGTTAAAATTACTTTTTTATATGTTAAAAAAAATCTGAAGAATATATGTTTTGAAATATATTGATTATGGCCAAAATTGTAGCATTTCAAATATATGTTAATATATTTGGTAAGAATATTTTTCAAATGTATTACAAATATATTTTTCTTACATGTGGGCTGTACAACTGTTGGATTTTTGCCACTCGATCAGCATCGCCAGTATAGCCGGAAGTGTTGATCAGTGTATTCTCATTGTGGTAAAGTCTCCCAACTGTCCAAATACAAAGGTTAAGCAGGAGGATTCCTCTATCCACATCGAGTGGATGGGGGAATCAAGTTTTTTTTTTTTTTTTTAATTCAAGCCGCTGGTTGAACTGAAAAAAAAAAGGAATCATCTATGCAGGGCTTAAAATTTCAAGTCCTGAGCTACTAGCCAGGCTTTAGAGTTACTCGCCACCAACAAACACACACAAACAGAGACACCTGTACACACACACAGACATGTACAAACACACACACATACATACACACACAGAAACATGTACACACACGCACATAGACACATGTACACACACACACACATACAGACACATGTATACAAACACAGGCACGTACAGACATGCATACACACAGATACATGAACATACACAGAAATACACACGCACAGACACTTGTACATACACACAGATACCTGTACATACATACACAGACATATGTACACACAGACACATGTACACACACACAGACACATGTACACACACACATGCATGTACATACATGCAGACACATGTACATACACACAGACACATGTACAATTGTACATGCATACACAGACACACACTAACACACTCACATGTACACGTACACACACACACACACCATAAAAAGTTGCAGTACTTCGTTGTTCACTCACAGATCCGGGTACTGCACTCTAGGGGGAGGCAGAGAGCACAGCACACACTCCTTGCTTTGCTTTCACTGCGCTCAGCTATTCAGCAGTCTGACGGTTCCCAGTGCCAATGACAGATCTGGCCTGGGCTCCGAGCCTGCTCAGCAAGACGGCTCTGGGGGACACACTGCCCTCACAATAATTTCCATTCGCCATTGGCGAGCAGGAGAGTGGAAATTTCAAGCCCTGATCTATGGTTTCCCTTAATCAGAATTTGTAAGAAATGGGCCAATGAAATTTCTTTGTGCATCAACAAAAACATTATTTTTAATGTTGCCATTGAAGCTGCATGAAAAGACCCTCTATCTGCTGTATGATTTTTAAATTCTTTTGCATTGGTGCATATCCCCCACTACAGCCAGGGCCGTGTAAAAGGGTGTACCACCAGTCCTCCTGTACAGGGCCCAGACCAGCAGGGGGGGCACAGGCAGCAGGGTGAATTTGATGTGGGCAGGGAGGTTGATTGCCACATAAGGGGGGGGGGGCAATTACTGGAACCGATCCCCTGTATGACTCTCTCTGCAGCAGCTGAAAGCTGGCTTCTTCACCTCTCCCTCCCGCTGGCTTTCAGCTCCTGCAGAGAGTACCATACAGAGGATCGGTTCCAGTAATTGCCCCCCGCCACACCCATCATCGTCCCTGTGAACTGTATGTTCCCTCCTGTGTGCCCCAGTGATGTCGGCTTCCCTCCTCTCTTTCCCACCCACAGCTGCAATAACATAATAAGATCATTCAGGATGGAGAGTGGGGGAAAGGTCTGGGAAATATGTCACATTTACCATCCCCTTCCTTTCCTGAATTAACACAATGAGTGACAGGTACCAATTACTCCTTGTGTTCATTCATAACTGAAGCATACCAAACTGTTTTTTTTTTTTTTGTGCGGGGGTGGACCCCGTAAGTTTGTAAGTACAGGGCCCTGTGATTACTCTCAGAAGCCCTGATTACAGCACTCAGCTTCCCATGCCATTTGCTGCAGCCTGAAAATGTCCAGAATTGAATAACAATATTTGTTCCTCATAAGCATAAATTAGATTTACCACTAAATTTGGTTTTGCCAAATTTCAAACAGGATTCACCAAACCCTTGAAGAATTGATCCAGGCAGATTTGCCCATCTGTGGTTATGTCTAGCAAATTATGATGCTAACAGTTTAAATTAAAAACAAATAGGAGAAAAATATATGCAATCTTCACCTACACGTCAGCTATGAACAGACATCCAAAATGCATCTTCATTATACACAGGTTCGAAAGACCTGCTTATCCTAGATCAGTGGTTCTCAACCTTCCTAATGCCATGACCCTTTAATACAGTTCCTCATGTTGTGGTGACCCCCAACCATAAAATTATTTACCCAGTAATTATAATTCATGAGTGTCCTTTTACCTCCAATACTGCTGCTTTCAACACAGTAGCTGCTTTTAACAGAGTAGCTGCTTTCAACACAGCAGCTGCTTTCTACACAGTATCTGCTCTTTACACATCGGAAATATGTGTTTTCTGATGGTCTTAGGGGACCCCTGTGAAAGAGTCGTTCGACCCCCAAAGGGGTCGCGACCCACAGGTTGAGAACCACTGTCCTATATCTTTATTAAAATATAAGTTCATCTTCCGAAGCATGTTACACGTTACACCCATAAATTAGGGTGTAACATGCTCGAGACCTGCCCCCCTCCCTGTAACAGCAGGTGGGGGATCTTCTTGGCCACATTTTGAAAACAGCGCACCTGTGTGGGGCTCCACCCGCATCGTCACATCATTCATTTAATCTGTTGATGAGAAAACTGCAAGACCCATCTGCCACCGCGGCAGACAGACTTGAATGGGCAGCCAGTGTACTGATAAGCATGCAAGATGGCAGCCCTACAGAGGTATGGGCTTAATGCTAGGTTCACACAGAAACCACAAGTGCAGTACAGTTCCCAGTGCAGAAGTGGTTTCCAATGTGTGCAAAGTGCCATTTGGATTAATCCACTCCTTTTTTCTGTGCAGGTGGTTGCAGCTGCAGAAACAGGTTCAAACCCACAGCGGGAACCACCCACATAGATGTGAACCTAGCCTAAAGTTAGAGCGAGTGCAATACCTTGCAGGCTCCTGTTAAAAAATAAATAATAAAAAAACACATTTTTTAACCTGTAAAAAAGTGTTCATTTATTATTTTTTAGTGAAAGGTGAACTTAGCCTTTAAATCACATCCTATGCATCCCATTCATCCTGGTTATCCTTACTTGTTACATTTGCTTTTGGGGTGCTACAATATACTCACAGAAACAGCACAAAATCTAAAATTAAAATAACACAAATAGATAAACACTAAATTTATAATAAGTGTCCATGAAAAAAAAAAATATATATATAAGTCCTTATTCCCATCAAAACCAATAAAAAATCAAAAAAGTTTTTATTGGTTTTGATGGGAATAAGGACTTATATACTGTATATATCTTTTTTTTTCACGGACACTTATTATAAATTTAGTGTTTATCTATTTGTGTTATTTTAATTTTAGATTTTGCGCTGTTTATGTGTTGTTTATTATTGGTGTTTTTTCACTGGTGCACAGCTGCATAATCATATAGTTTTTTTCTTTTTTTGGCGCTGGGGTATATACTTTTGGTTTAATATACTCACAGAGTTACTTTATTTGTAATATTTACCAGTCTGCACCTTTGTAATCTTATATTTGTACTTCAAACAAGAAACATCTATCATTCTTACAATCTGTAGTAAATAAAAAAAATAAATTTGGCTCTAACCTTTCCAGTAGATTTTGTTCCTTTCCAAATGCAGAAATAACAAACAGTCCAAGCAGCAAGAAGACAAAGTGCTAATTCCCATCGGAGTTCTCCAATATGCTCAATCCCATCTGAAATTGCCAAAACTCTTCGTCTGTAGAAAAGAAAATAGATTATGTAATAACAATAACATGAGTATAGAAGAATATTCTGAGGGGTGAAAACATCCTCTGTGTAGATGAGTTACTTAGAGCCTGTGTTTATTGACTTTAGGCTTCTTTTGAAGGGCAAATGTAGCGTGCTTTTACTTGCATTCCACTTGCATTAAAGAATGGTTTGATAGAAATCTGACATCATTCAGATTTCAATGACAGGTGTATTTGACCTCCTTCTGAATTATATTTCTTAGTTCTCATTGACTTTTGATTGAGAAAATAAGACGTTCTGATACAAATAAGAGCCCATTGACTCCGGACCTTACATATCTTTGGATGAAAACACACTTGGGTAGGTGCTCTGCTAACAATTACAATAAAAAGTATTTGTCATATTTAACAAGTAGAGACCACGTGACCATGCTGACCAATGAGAAGCTCATCTGAGGCATCTGGTATGATGTCCCAGAAGAACAAAGTGATTCTCATTGGTCAGCATTCACATGTAGCCATGCTGACCAATAAACACTTGCCATTGACAGCATTTTGATGGATACTTACTCCAGGGCTGTATATTGTAGTGTGTGGTGTATGGACCGCTACACCAGTAGCACAGGGCATCATGGCTGCTACGTAGAGTGGGGTTTATTTTTTCACGAAAAGGTGACGTTAAACTGGAAACACGCAGTCCGAATATCAGCCTGTTCAGCAAGAGCTGGCCAACATTCAGGCCATGTGTATAGCTGTCTTTCCTGCTAGAAATTCTGTATATAACTCTACAGAACAGACTGTGCACAGTGCATATGTGCTTTTCTGCGACTTTACTGCAACCAGGAAACAGGAAACTTCAGTGAAAAGACATGGAGTTTACCATACCAAAAGTGCAGCTACAAACCTATGAACACTGCCATCCACTGGTTGAAGAATATATCTCTACTGAATACTGATGTAGATAGTGCAAATATAGCAACACTGTATTCCAACACTTCCGACAGAAGCTGGTCTAAGGACTGGCTTTTACAGAAGGAACATGCTGGAAAACTAGCACCTGATCAGTGCTCACAGCCAATGGGATGTTCTGGCGGGGAGGGGGGAATCCCCCAGTCAGAACACAAAGGCACAGTGGGAGAGATTGCTTTACTAACATCACTTAGTATGGAGATCTGTCTGGGATTTTTTTTCGTTCAGACCGCTGGGTTGACCGAAATACAACGGAATGTGTGTACTGGGCATTACACTTTAAAGTGGACCTTTCAGCAACTTTACTTTTGACTACATGTTTACATTCATGGCATGATATACAGTATACAGCAGCAGTAAAAAAAATTTCTAAAGCCCTTTCTTTTAACATTAAACAGCAGTTCTTAAGCTGTCTAGACCAATGACTTAGCAAAGATTCAGTCATCAGTCTGTAGAGGGCAGGAGGAAGGGTTTTCTTAATATCTTCCCCTCCAGTAATCAGACTGCAATGTTGTAACTTTAAATGTGTATAATTAACCACTTCAATACCGAGCACTTATACCCCCTTCCTGCCCAGGCCAATGTTCAGATTTCAGCGCTGTCGCACTTTGAATGACAATTGCGCTGTCATGCAACACTGTACCCATATGAAATTTGTATCATTTTTTTTCACACAAATAGTGCTTTCTTTTGGTGGTATTTAATCACCACTGAGTTTTTCATTTTTTGCTAAATAAAACAAAAATCTTTGAAAAAAACCACACTTTTCTTCATCTCTGTTATAAAATTTTGCTAATAAAAAAACATTTCTTCATAAATTTAGGTCAAATTGTATTCTGCTACATTTCTTTGGTGAAAATAATAATAATAATTGAATTTGCATTTATTTTTTCAAATGTTTCTATTTTTTTTTATTTTTTATTACATTTTTTCTTTTTTTTACTATTTTATTTTTCAGCACACTGTGACCAAAGCAATACAATGTTACCATAGTAACATTGAACTACTCAGGGCAAGTGATCAGGATTTTTTTTTTAACACTTTATGATTGCTAATACCGATGTATTTCTTTGATATTTGCAATCATTGTTACTGAATTAAACTGATTCATTCAGTCTTTTGTTGTGATCAGCTGTGATTGGGCAAAGCTGATCACATGATTCAGATGGGCTGTGATTGGCCCTGTCTGTATCATGTGACTGCCTTAACCAGTCATAGCTAACAACATAATTGTATACAATGGATGGCATGACAGGAAGCCATCCATTGTATACAATTGACATGTGATCTGCTGTGATCGGTCAAAGCGGTCACATGACACTGGCAACGGTG